AATTTTTACGTTTGAGTGCGTTTACATATATATTGAATATTTTTTAATATTATATAATTAAATATTAATAATCGAACTCGCTCTTACGATCGCTAACTGTCGACGTTAACCGGTCAACGTCCGTGGTCCGCCCGGGCTTAGTTTCGAGGCTGGGTCCGTCACTGCATACACACGTGGTAGAATTTATGCTTCATCATTCACCCCTTGGTATTTGAAATTGCCACAATTCTCTTGAAAGAGCGTGAGCTTTTAGTGTGGATTCTCACTCATTTTTCCATAGAATGGGATGCTGTTTAGAAAGAGGTTGATTATATCTAGTCTTAGCAGAAAGTTTTGATTCCCAATGAACGGTATATGATGCTTGATTGATTTTCAACAAGAGGGAGAATCATGAAATCCCCGACAAGCAACTCTTCCTCATCGATTTCTTCAACAGGCACCATGACTGGAGGAACGACCAAAAGTGGGACTTCTCCTTGAGGAGAAATTCCAAGTGGAATTACTCTAGATGGAATAACACATTGTCATTGTTCTCGTGGTCTCTTATAAGCTAGCACAATACCGAAACAATGAAAAAAATAGATCAATGTAAAAAAGAAGACGAAAAAGTTGTTTAAACTAACATTAACTAAAATAATAATCAAAATGATTACTCCCTAACAATGACACCAAAGACTTGTGAAATTATCATGCAAGAAGACATATTGTAAATGATCCATTGAAAACCCGCAAGTGCACGAGATCGTGGTCAAGTAATATAATGATGAATAGAGTGTCGACCTCACATGAACTATGTGTTAAACCGAGTTAAAATTAATTGCAATTTTGATCGAATAGCAAATAAATTTTATGATTTTTTTCTATAGTAATACTTAAATTATCCATTAAAATAGTGAAAGTAAGTAAATGTATTTTTCAAATATATGAGATGTATTTTTAAGATATCGAATCCCCATTATTATTATTCCATTTTTAGTGTAACAATTAAAGTGATAGTTTAAAATTATTCATGTTGGTCAATATTCCTAATTTAATTGAAAGTCTCTCTCGATAACGATCAAATATATTTCCCTTATGTGATCATTCTATCTCTCGATGAAAGATACAAACATGATAATTGCATTAACAAGTATTAGACACATATTGAAATCATATAAAGTATAGATGTATATCTCTATCATCTATCAAACCTTACAATGTTTAATATATTGTGCTTAAACTCTATTATCTCTCTCGATAACAATAAAATTTACTAACAATTTAATTGGTGACCAAGCAATTGAAAAGAACGATAAAAACGATAATAAACATCCACAAATCAAATCAAATTAAAGTCAAAATAATTAATTAAAAACTAAAAATATCATAACAAGTGTTCATCTTATACTAACAATATATTAGCCTAACATATCGAAATTACAAGAAATCATATTTAAGTGAAAATACATAACCCAGATTTTAAATAAAATGAGAAGATGAAGATTAATTTTAAAATCTTGAATCTCTTCAATGGTTTCTTGATGAATCTCCATTTGGGCCTTCTCGTATTTGCCCAAAAATCAAATTTGAATTTTCATTTGATTGAATTCTTTCAAATCCCCTTCAATTCTCCATAAAAGCTATGAATTTTCCTTCTTTGATGATAATAATTGATGAATATTAGAGTATGAGATGTATATGAGATGCCTCTAATATGTATTATGTTGTTAGGTATTTGTAGTAATAGAAAATATGTTGAAAATTACGTCCAAATTGATTTCCAAAAGAGTTCCAATCGAATAAGGAAAATTGTCTTCACGCGTGTATTTTTTTGTCTCTGTACAGCAGTCAGTATTTTGATTATAACTTTCTTTACCGATATCCGATTGAGATGACTCAAAGTGAATTGAAAATCTGACTCAAAGGGCTACAACTTTGTTAAATAGAATTCTTCCATTTCAGACGTTTACTATTCCAAAAATGAGTCTCAATTTTTGATTAAAAATATTGAAAATAAGTTGTGCGATTGGAAATTGATTTTGATAATATTTTATTCCCATTTGAGTTTTAATTTCATCCAATTGTTTTATAACAATCTTCAAAGTATCGTCTTGAAATCTGAATCGACTAATCAATATTTGCAATTTGGTCATCAAACTTTGGACTTTTTCATTTTCCTTAAGTTTCCTTTCGTTTGTTCCGATTCCTCGTTCAACCATTGAGATTTACCTATATAAATAATTTAAGACATATTTTATCAAAAGAACTATTAAATATCGATATTTTAGGCCCCCGAATAAGTGTATAAAATAAACTTATCAGTAAACAAACACTATAATGATGAATAAACTATCATTCCATGAAGATTGATTATTGATTCTACTTTAATCAAAACTAATTCTAACAAAACAAACACGATCAATATTTATATTTCCTACTTGACAACTAAACTAGTCAATTCGTACATGTATGATAAGTCTTACGAGTACAGTCAATCAAGCAAAGCACTACAATCATTAATCTACTATTGTCAACCTTAATTCAATTCTTAATTACTTGTTAATTGTCAATTTTTGTCTAGTTTGAAAATAAATGATCCAATTTAATCAATTCCCTTTCTCAAGTTCAATCAATTCTATTTGTATGTGAACCTAATTACGTTTTAAATTGTGAATACATAAGCATGCATTAATTCACAAAAATCATCATGCACAATTATCATATAGCATAATAGTATATCTATTTATTATAGGACTCTATATTGTTTATTAAGTGATAATATATAACAAACCTCTCGTGTGAAAATATAAATCACAAACATGTTCTAATAATGATCAACCATCAAAGAGGAACAATAATTTAGTAACAAGAACTAAAGAAAATGAGCAACTTCAAATTAAATTAAATCTCAATATTTCATCGTTAGTCCTAGCGACAAAGGGGTTAGCCGGACATGATTAGATCATACAAATATAAGACATTTTATGAACTCCAAATTCCAAAAGAAAAGAAAATTTTGATATAATTATTTGTTGGTAACTATCCAATATATAGGATGATTTTGGGGAAAATCGATCCTTTATCATTTACATTATTTATATTATTAATACGTAATATAGAAGTCAAAGAAAAAAAATTGTATATATAGGCAAACATATTTTTTAAACCCAAAATAGGTAGACAAATTTTTTTTTTCTTGACTCGGACAAATGTTCAAACCGACTAACCAAACCATCGATTTAGCTTGGTTCGATTTCAACAACTGAATTGAATCAATTTTGAATGGAATTTACCTAAATTGACTAAGACGGTTTTGATTTCGAATTGAGCTCAAAATCAATTCAATCCGGACCATGCTCAAGCATAATTAGTCTCACAAAATATATAATATAATAAATTATAAATATATGAATAGAATTTTTGAAGATCTTCTCCAAACAATATCCTAAGCCCCGTTCGGGAGGGATTAAAATCCAATTAAAATTAAAAATATGGCTTTTATTGGAACCTACTTGTCTATTAAAAGTCAACAATAACGATTATATTTTCAATTTTAATCCGATTTTAATCCCAACCAACCTAAGAGCTTGTTTGGGAGGGATTAAAATCAGATTAAAATTGAAAATATAGCCGTTATTGTTGACTTTTATTAGACGGGTGGGACCCAATAACGATCATATTTTCAATTTTAATTGATTTTTAAGCCCTCCCAAACGGGGTCTAAATCCCCTCCCCTCCTCTCATATTGTAAACTATCCAGCAGATCTCTTCACAAACGCTTTAAACTCACCAAAAACTACACAGATCTCACATTCTCCTCCAATTTTCCGGTCAAGAAACATAACAATCATGGCAGCAGCAGTGTCGGCTCGTGAGGAGAATGTTTACATGGCCAAACTAGCCGAGCAGGCGGAGCGCTATGAGGAAATGGTTGAATTCATGGAGAAAGTGTCGGCCTCGTTAACAGGGTCCGAGGAACTCACTATTGAGGAGAGGAATCTGCTTTCAGTGGCGTACAAGAACGTAATTGGGGCGCGGAGGGCGTCCTGGCGCATCATATCGTCCATTGAGCAGAAGGAGGAGTCGAGGGGAAATGAAGACCATGTGAGCGCTATTAAGGAGTACAGATCAAAGATTGAATCGGAACTTTCGAACATTTGTGGTGGAATTCTTAAGTTACTTGATTCCAGGCTGATTCCTTCGGCTTCTGTTGGGGATTCCAAAGTTTTCTATTTGAAAATGAAAGGGGATTATCATAGGTACTTGGCTGAGTTTTTGACTGGTGCTGAAAGAAAAGATACTGCGGAGAATACTCTTTCTGCCTACAAGTCTGCTCAGGTTTGTTCTCTATTTTGTTTAAATATTTTCCTCGTTTTCCAAATTGAATGTTGTATTTGACTTTTGTTTTGAATCCGTGCAAAGTTGCAATCTTATATGAATCGGTATGATTTCCATAGGCATTTCAAATATTTTCTGTTAAAATTTTCATTTTGAAATAATTTTCTCCAAAATTAGTTTTTCTTCATGAAGATGTGCAGAAATAGGTGAATTAGTGTTTTAGAATTGGAGATTTTTGTTTCATCACTGCATGTAAGATGAATGATATAATGCAACAGAAAGATACGGATTCGAAGCTAAAATTGATCATTTTTCATCAATTTTGCCTTGATCAGGAATCGGCAATGAGATTGTTGACTCATTTATTTAACTATCTTGGGATAAAAGATAAACTTGCCTTATCCAAAAAAAAAAAAAAGATAAACTTGTATAGCCATTTCAATCTGTAGTGAGATTGATGACCTTGGTCCTTTTGGATAATTTTCTTGAAGTTTCTTGTTCCCAATTGTTTAGATCTCATCAACTCTTGTATTTATACGTTAGTCCTCTTTTTCCCAGATTGAATGTTGTATTTGACTTTTTTGATTCTGTTCAAAAGAAGTCGTGATCTTAAATGAGTTGATACGATTTCCAGGAACTTCAAACTCTAGTATTTTCCGCTAAGTTTTCATTTTGCATTTTTTATTTTTTTGATGATTTTCTTAAAACTTAGTTCATTATGCCTTTAATTTTTCATAAAAAAATGTCTGAAAGTGGGACAATTAGTGTAATAGGCTTGGAGTTTCTTCTTTCATTATTTCATGTAAGATGAATGATATAATGCCCTGCATAATTATACCAATTTTAAGCTAACATTGATCAATTCTATCAATCATGACTTGATCTGGCATTGACAATGAAATTTTTGACTGATTTAATTAGCTATCTAGGGATAAAAGATAAACTTGTATGGCTATTTCAATCTGTAGTGATGTTCTTGGGGCTTTCAGTTAATTTGTTTGTACATTTGAAAGAAAACCTTCATGTTCGAAAGCACAAATATGTTCAACTCAGACATTTTCTTGTGGAGATTATTGAAATTATCTCACAATAACCAAATTTTGTTTTTTTGCCAACTATTGTTGCATGTAAACAGCAACCTAGGATTGCATGTTAGATCTGAGATTATGTCTTAAAATTCTTGTGAACATGAGCGAACAGGTCATTGTAAAACATTTTATTGAATGATCGCTTATCGTTTTACCGCTGTGTTATAAAGATTGTGCATCTCTCTGTTATGTTTTTGCAGGACATTGCTAATACAGAACTTGCTCCAACCCACCCAATCCGACTTGGACTGGCTCTGAACTTCTCCGTGTTCTACTACGAAATTTTGAACTCTCCTGACCGTGCTTGTAATCTTGCTAAACAGGTTAGCCAGATAATTTGTATCTATTCTGAATTTTGGGGAAATTTAGCTTACAGAAGTTGAGATTTGTGTATGGTTCCACTGTGTTTTCTTTTATTTATTATTATTATTATTTTCAAATAGAAAACAGGCATGCATTTATTATGTGTTTATGGTTTTAGCACGTCCAGTTTTTGTGATATTTATTTTCTTGTCTGGGTTGGCAAGGCCTTTGATGAAGCAATTGCTGAGTTGGATACCCTAGGCGAGGAGTCGTACAAAGACAGCACTTTGATTATGCAACTTCTTCGCGATAACCTGACTCTCTGGACCTCTGACATGCAGGTATTCATGAAATCTGCTTCCGTACAAATCAACGTTTGGAATTTCTTGTTAAAGTAATTTAGTTATTTGCCAATTAGACTCCCTACTAGAATGTCACATTTACATTTTTGTTAGTCAAGTTAATAGACATGGACGAAGTGATTAAATTGTAAAAAAAAAAAAAAAAAAGATGGCGACCAACTTGAAACAAAGGAAGTTCAATGACCACCTGTGTATTTAACCCTTCTTTCTATCATTGACTATGCCAAGCTTATATTTTTCACATATCCATTTTCATGTCTAGCTGTTTGTGTTTTCAAATATGAGTCGAGAAGTACTAGTGCTAAATAATAATTAATATGAGGATTTGAATGTAGGATGATGGAACTGATGATATCAAAGAAGCTCCTAAACGCGATGATGAACAACAGGGAGAGTGAGAGTCGGGGTACATGCCGGCCAGCAAACTCAAATTTTATGATTCACTTCTCTGATGGTTATTTTTCATTTAGGAGAAGTCGATTATTTACTTTCCTTCCTTTTCTGGTTTTTCTTCTAGGAGATACTGTCCCTTTTACATGATTACGGTTGAATTGTAAGTCATTTGGCCGTGAGTTTAATTGTAAGTTTTGAGTATTTTCAGTTTTCATCTAAACATCTGAGTTAATACAGTTTTTTACTTTCTCCAGGCTAAATCAAAAGCCTATTTTGAACTTCCTTAATCCCGTGTATTTTTTTAATAAATTTAGATTTTCTTATTACATCTACCCAGCTTGAACTAACTGGGACAAAATATATGAAGCTAAATAGTGGGCTACATTATTCCCTTCTCGAGAAATAAAGCGTCAAGAATCACATCAAACCTCTCATTTTGTCTTGCAATATTTTGTAAGACTGGACCGAGGTCGACACCCAATATTAAGTACTTTTTTAGTCATGCAGTTGGTTTTTCGTAATATGTGAATCACAAATTAAGTTGTGAGTATTACAAAAAATATAAGATAAAAAGTACTTTTGTTCAGCTTAAAAGAAAATTTAAAATTTGTAAAGTGCAAGAGACTCCTGATTGCACCATGATACAAACTGTATTAACTTGGAAGTTTAGATAATTCGTTAACTAAATGGAGTAAATATGAATATAGGTCAATCCGATTTTCGATAACAACCCGATCCGATTTGTTATACAAAGATGTGAATGCTCTAAGACAAGCTTCAATTTCAATAAACAAATTGAATCATAAATATGTTCCACTACCCCAAATGACTTTCGGAATAAAAAGAAACATATCGTTTCTTTACCATATATTTCTGATTTTAATGAATCAAGAACTTTCACAAAATCAAGGCCGATTCAAATGAAGATTATTTTGTCAAAGAAATTAATGATTTATTGGAAAAAAATTTAGTTCGTTCAGCTTTCAACATTAACAATCAAAACGAAATAGAAAGAGGTGCTCCAAGATTAGTTATTAATTACAAGCCTTTAAATAAAAATCTTCAATTGATTCGATATCTCCTGCCACATAAGAAAGATCTATTAAATAAACTTCTTGAGACAGTAATTTTTCAAAATTTGATATGAAATGATCCTAGATAATCATAATCATTTATTAATGAAAAGTACCAATCTCGAAACCGAAAAGAATTGGAGCCATCCAAATTCGATATTATTCTTCAATAAACCAACAAAAAGTTCAACAAAAAAAAAATGTTGTATGGATATTGGAAGATGTCGTTGGCTCGTGCACAATGATTGAGAAACAATCCTTGATAAACGAAATCGTTTATTCAAGAAACCAATATTGGACCGAAAAGAATTGTATCTATCCAAATTCGATTCTATTATTCACTAGACCACCATAAAGTAAAACGAATTCTTCCATATATAGATACATTCGCTAGAAGTTCCACAAGTCAACACAATATGGGTTATAAGTTTTTTTTAACTATGGTAAAAGAAGACAAAACTAAAATTAAAATAACACATTCTTAACCGTGGAATCCGGAGTGTCATGTGACCAATATTTAAATTATCCCAGTTTATATCGATTTATTTCACTTTGAATATGTGTTAAATGTGATGTAATTATTTATGGTCTTGCTATGGTAAAGTGTTTTTCGTAGCCGACTTTCGAATCCTATAAACATTCAAAACATAAGTATAAAATATATCGTATGGATTATGAGATAAAACAAATGGTTTAACTGAACAAAAGAGAAGCATTTGATCCTTCTAAGCACATATACGTAGTTGTACAACTATGCTCATTAATACATGCACTTTCGTCTACTTGAATGTGATCGCACGTGTATTGCACATGAATTGACGGATAAATTGACTCCTGTGTTTTCAGCGATGAAATCCTCACAATTAATCTTGAGAAGCAGAAATAAAACAAGACCAAGAGTAGTAAGCCCCAGTAATTGCAGCTTTTGTTTTCAAAACCAAAGATTTATTTAACACAAAAAATTAAATTAATTCAAGCCTCTGTAACTTCCATTGGATTCACAACGAAAAGTAGGGTAGATAAGTCTGATATTGTTACAATGCGAAGACATATAATCCTGATGCTTTTGCCATGGATGGATTCTACTGCTCTTCAGTTCTGGTCATGGTCAAACAAACGGAAACGTTCATGCTAAGGTTGGAAGATATATACAAGAGCTTCGATTAGCATCCATTCTAAGGTAGATAGAAGTGTAAAACAAAACAAAGAACACAGTCAAAACCTGTTGACTTTCGTAGAAGGAAGGGAATTGACAATCAAGACTCATTGGCTTGTGCACAAAGATTGGGAAATGATCGTTGATAAACAAAATCGTTTATTCATGAAAAGTACCAATATTGGACCGAAAAGAATTGGAACTATACAAATTCGATATTATTGTTCATTGAACCACCAAAAAGTACAATGAATCGTTTGAAATTTAAATACACTTGCAAGAAGTTAAAAAGTCTAGAAGTTCAAGACACAAGTCAACAAAATAAAGGTTACAAAATTTTTCAACTATGGTAAAAGAAAATGCAACATTAAAATGACATAAATTCTTAACCTTGAAATCCGGCGAGACAAGTGGCCAATATTTAAATCAAATCAGTTTATATTGATTTATTTCACTTTGAACATGTTCTAAAAGTGTGGTAATTATTTATGATCTTTGTATGGTAAAAGTGTATTTAGCAGCCGGCAATAAATATTCAAAACACAAGTATAAAAGTTATTGCATAGATTTTGTGATAAAATAAATGGTGTAGATCCTACATAAGCACATATACGTAGTTGCACAACTATGCTCATTAGAACATGTACTTTCGTCTACTTGAATGTGATAGTTCGTGTTCATCACTTGCACTTTTGGCAAGCAAAATCATTTGGCTCGTGCACGAAGATTGGGAAATGATTCTTGGTAAACAAAATCATTCATTCACAAAATTTACGGATATTGGACTGGAAAGAATTGGAACTATCCAAATTCGTTAATATTATTCAATAAACCGCCAAAGAGTACAATGAATTGTTCAAATTTGAATACATTAAGTTCAAAAGTCCAGAAATCTAAGACACAAGTCAACAAAATAAAGGTTTCAAAATTTTCCGACTGTAGTAAAAGAAAACAAAACTAAAATTAAAATGACATAAATTCTTAACCTTTAAATCCAACGAGACATGGCCAATATTTAAATTAAACCAGTTTATGTTGATTTATTTTTCTTTGAATATGTGCTAAATGTCTGGTAATTATTTAGTGTCTTTGTATCGTAAAAATGTTTTAGTAGCTGACTTTCGAATCCTATAAATATTCAAAACATAAGTATAAAAGATATCGTATGGATTTTGCAATAAAATAAATCGTGTAACTCAACAAAAGAGAAGCACTTGATCCTACATAAGCACATATATGTAGTAGCAAAACTATGTTGATTAGCACATGCACTTTCATCTACTTGAATGTGATTGCACGTGTGTTGTATGTGATGTGGGATTATGGTTTTTTGTTCGTGTTCATCACTTACACTTTTGGTAGGCATGGTAATATATATATGTTAGAATTTGGGTTTGACTCGAATTTCTTGTTGAAATAATATGAAGAATTCTAATTGAAGTGCACGTCATGAAGAATTCAATTTAGAATATTATTGGAGTTCTATGTCATGTTGAAGTTCCATTTTGAAAGTCCATTGTGAGTTAAAATTTGTTTTGGACTCAATTTTATGGTACCCTACTTCATCTACAATTCTGCTAGGTGGGTTTGTACATCCCGTATTTATTCTCTATAAATACGAGCCTCTTCAATACAATTTTATAAGGTGAGAAAATAGATAGAGGTGCATGATTTGATTTTTAAAAATTTTTCTAAAATAAATCCAAGTCTTAAACAATATACCAGCAATTATATCTATTCAACAAATGTGCACAAATACAAAGTAATCAAGCATGAGCACTTTGAGCAATATAAAGACGGTAAGTAAAAAGGGGAAGAGAATGCAAACGATGTTGTTGTGCAGGTTCGATCCCAAACACGATCTACGTCCCCCGTTACCAAGTCCTCTGTCACGAGCAAGGTTTTTTTCACTATATTGATTGACTTATGGTACAATCTTACATTTACAAACAAGAAGCACCGATCATTTTACAACGTTGAGCTTTTTGGGACCTCAACATGACCCATAATTCAGATGAATTTACAAACTATATATTCTCTTCTTAATGAATAATAAATTCAAAGTTAAGCACAAGAAGAGAAGTAGGCTAACTTTTCAATATATAGCAATAAATAAAGTTCAAGGGTTAGATTTGAAAAACTTTGATGAATGAAATGATTTTCAAAATTGAGATCAATCAAAAGTTTTTCAAAACAAGAGTGATTTGATAATAATAAATAAGATAAGAAACCAACGCAATTTTAGCTCACAGAATGCTCTAAAGTTGTGTTAATAAATGACAAGTGAGTTAGTATACATAGAGATGAAAAATTCCAAATTTTCTGTCAAGTTGGATGGCCGGTCCGATCGACCGCCAATTTTCGGATGACCAATATGACCGCCTGTACAAGAAAAATTAGAAGTCATAATGGTCAAATTTTGGACCGTTGGATAAGTCTGGTCGACCGCCATATTTGTCCGGTCGACCACCCCGGTCAATCGCCCGGACAGTTTGGCGGTCCTATTTTCGCGTTGTGGTTCCGTTTCAACCCGATTTGGAGATTTTAAAAGGTATGAACGTTTGGAATATATTATTAACTAATTTTCCAAGATAAAAGACCGTTGGAGACGTTGGTTGACCTCCCCTGTAGTTTTGCGGTCCTCTTTTAGCGTTGTGGTTCTGTGTGACCCGATTTGAAGGTTTTAAAAGGTATGGACTTTCGGAATATATTATTAACTAATTTTCCAAGATAAATATATATTTTTCAAGTCAAAATATCTTCTTCTTTTTTAAGT